ATGGTGCCTCTCTCTCCTGAAACATGTTTCTGCTTAGAGGAGAATGGGTATTTGAAAAACAAGGTCTTTAGGAAGGAAGGAGGGTGAATAGATGTTGTGTAGATAACTTTATTACTGGAAACATTTTAACTGAGGAAATGCGAAAATATTTTAAAAGTCGAAGAGAGTTAAGAGATGCTTGGAGCATGGCTAAGTTTCAGGTGGTTAAGGTAAAGACTGTAGACAGAGTCAACTTGAACAGAGTTGAAGGTATGAGGGTATATAATTCTGGAAGAGTAGTATATTATGGGAATGACTGAAGAATAAGTAAGGTGGGTAATTCTGGGAAGTAGGAATGGAAATTTTCTTAGCTTTGCAGGCCAAACTGAAGAACTTCAGTAATGAAGTCTTCCACCTATGTTTATATGCTTACAAGATAAGACTGGTTTTTATATTTTTAAGTGATTGAAAAATTAAAATGGTGACATTTCGTGACACATGAAAATCATATGAAATTCAAATGTTAGTAGTCAAAATTTTCTTGGAACAAAGCCAACCCATTTATTTGCACATTGTCTGGCCCTTATGTTGTACTATGGTAACATAGTTGAGTTGCTACCGAGATCACAGATACTTTGAATTAGTGTGTGGTTTACTGTAAATCACAATGATATAATAATTACAATTTGTCAGTTTTTGAGTGTCATGTATACAGCATTATCCTAAAATTTTATTACTTCATTATTGGTACATGCATTAATAGAATAAAATGAGAAAAGAGAAGAACAGGCCATATTCACATTGTAGTTGTTTTTTTTTTTTTTGAGCCATGGTGGAGTGCATTTAAGTGTTACCAAATTAGATGTCAAAACATCATATTTATCTTGTTGGAACACTATAGCTGTGCTAAAAGAATACATTATATGTCAATACCATACTGAGTACCCCTCACAATATTTTCAGGACACAGGAATATAGTAGAAAAATAATAAAGAAAAATACCATCACAGCAGAATTTCTTAACAAAAGTAAAAAAAATTTTTTTTTTTTTTTTGAGACAGGGTCTCACTATGTAGTTGAGACTGACTTGGAACTCACTGTGTAGCCCAGGGTGGTTTCAAACTCACAGTGATCCTCCTGCGTCAGCCTCCCAGGTGCTGGGATTATAGGTTTGCACCACCACACCTGAATAAAGTAAATTTCTGTATGACTTATTTGTTAATCAAACAATAGAAAAAAAAAAACACTTTTAATGGTGAGGTAATACAATTGTGTTTGACTATGGCAACTGAACATACATGGCCACAGAAAATAAAATTGACAACATAAGTCTTTCAGTAGGGGTATTTGCTTTAAAAGTTAAAGTTATAGGGGCTGGGGATTTAGCTCAGCGGTTCGGTGGCCTGCCTTGCAAGCGCAAGGACCAGAGTTCAATCCCCTGTACCCCCCTAAAAAAAATTGTCATTGTGAGAAACATCTGTAGCATTTAAAAAACAAAGTAAATGATTTCTAGTGGTTTTCCTAGGCCTTGATATATCAGATGTTACCAATATTGCTTAGTTGCTATTTACTCTAGGAGTCAAATACTGAATTTGAAGTGAGTAGAAGAATTAGTTTTTATGAATGGTCTGTGAAATAACTACAAAAGAAAATGTTTTCAGAGAAGTTTAAAAAAAACATTCAGTATAACCTGAAGTGAAATTAGCTATGATACGTTATACTGCCAAAAATAAGTGTGGAGGCTGGGTGTGGTGCATGCCTGTAATCCTCACATTTGGGAAACTGTAGCTGGAGGATTGGCATGAGTTTGAGGCCAGCCTAGGATACATAGTGATTTCAAGGCCAGCTTGGACTGGATAGCTAGATCCTGTCTGAAAAAACAATACAATAAACAACAAAAAACTGTGGAGCCTCAAAGACATCAGTAGGACAAATTTTCAAAACTTTTTAAAATGTTAAGATAGTTCTGGGCATGGTGGCTCATTCCTCCCTGAGCCTATAATCTCAGCACTCAGGAGATTGAGGCAGGAGGACTACTGCCCCAAGTTCAAGGCCAGCCGGGACTACTAGTAAGACTCTATTATAAAGAAAGAAAAGATAGAAGGAGGAAGGAAGGAAGGAAGGGTGGTTAAGCTGGGTGTAGTGGCATATACCTGTAGTCTCAGCAGCGCTCTAGCAGGCTGAGGCAGGAGGATGGCAAGTTTGAGTCCAGCCCAGATAATTTAGTGACTCAGTGAGACTCTGTCTCAAAATAAAAGAGTGCTCCAGAGGTTCCACTGTGTTCAATCCTTGGCACCCTCCTCCCCAAAAAGCAAGTTGAGAATTTATTATTAGTCATTAGCAGATACTTTGCAGAAAATACTTAAATCTGTCGTGTACTAATCTGTTGAATTGTTTACTCTTGTAAATATAGAGGTAGAATAGTCTTAATTATTCTTCTGCAGAATAGTTTTAGACAGTGAGGTTAAGTCTTAGTGCATTTCTTTGAGCCAAGAAACACGATTAAAATTTTTCTGAATGAAAAAGATTGCCCTCAGCATTAAATCAAATGTAATAAATTTGTAAGTTTTTTTGGAGGCTTTGTGATATTTAACAACAAATTCAGCCTAAACAAGGGTAAAGCAGTGCTAATATATGAAACTTAATGCCATGGTAATGTCATTTGTACAATATCTACTGTTATTTGGATTTTAGATAATGGCAAGCTACTATGCATGCTTGCTTTCAAAATTTAAAGTAAAAATTAAGACCTCTATTCCTACATAAATTTTCAGGAGAAATATTTTTCAGCATCCTATAGTGGTTTTTTGTTTCATTTGTAGCTTTATGATGTAGAATTTGAACTCTTTGGTATAAAATTCTGCTATCTTTGAATTTGCAGGTTTTGCATCTATTGATTGTCTTTTTTTTTTTTTTTTTTTTTTTTTGTGGTCTTTTTTTTTTTTTTTTTTTTTTTTTTTTTTTTTTTGAGAGGTTTCTCAGTTTTAGTTTTTTTAAATTGACTCCTTGACATTTTGGGTGTTGTGTTTTGAGACTGCATTTACCACCCCCCCATTTTAGCAGATCTTATAACTGAAAACAGGGTCGGGTAAATGGGCCTGCTTTGTTCCTCCCATGTATATGTAGAAATTCTAGTTCCAAAGTAGGCCTCTCTTGGTGAACACTGGGTAGAAATGACAATGGGTGCTGTCCCTGATACTTCTGCAGCCATCACCACTTTGTCTCAAATCATTCTTGCTCTTCACTTGACCTTCACTGATGCTGGAGTGGAGGAGGAATGGGCATATTTCTGTGGGCAGTGCTTTGAGTCCTGATTCTCCAATAGGAGTCCCCTCCACAGGGAGAGGGAAGGGTGCCTCTGTATCATGCATTGAGTTCCGGACTCTCCACTTAACTCATGACACAAGTTTTATTAAGCTCCGAATTTTGTTGTCTGTTTTGTTTTTTATTACAGATTTATTTTGAGGCAGTCTTTTGTTTTATTCTAGTTAAAAGTTGGGGGAATTCTTCAAATTCACTCGTAAAATTGGTAATATGAACGTTCCCTCTATTGTACCCCTTGCCCTGTGTTTTTGGGTTGATTTCAGAATATGTTAATTTATTACTTTTGTCCCTCTCTTTCCTCTTTTTTGTTTCTCCAGTGATCAAGCAAAGTAGAAAAGTATGAAATGCTGAGTGAGATTTTGATTCAAATACAGCATGCAATTGATACACAATTTAGGAATGATTTCCGTTATCCTCTTTATCCCCAAATAATTAGCTTTGCAATGGTTAGTTTGTTTATTTATTTTTGAGGCAGAGTCTTGTTATGTAGTTCAGGCTGGCCTTGAAGTAGCAAACCTGGCTCAGCCTCCTGAGTGCTGGGATTATAGGAGTGTACCACTGCACCTGGCATAATTGTTAGTTTATATGACTTGTGTATAAGAGTGCTGACATGAGAAGCATTCTCTGTGGAAATTCATTCTTTGATATTTTCTCTAATTTTCCAAATAATTTTTATGAAGATAAATTCCATTCTTTATGTATAGCATCCATTTTCTTCCAATGCCAGATAGCCTTTTTTAGCTTTATCATTGTAACAGATGGGTTTGAAGGGTTCACTTATATAGTTATATCATCATAGATGTATATGATATTGTAAGTTAGTATGTTGGATAAATTCAATACTTTTCATCATAGCTTAGCTAATATATAATGTTTTTCATTGCAGATGTGCTTAAGGGATATATTGGTGTTTCTAAAAAGACTAAATGTTGGAAAAAGGATGACTTTTTCCTTAATATGTACTTAAAACTTACTATATTTTATTTGCCAATGTCATTTTTAGTTTATTGGTACATTTTAGGTATATAGCATAGTTACATTCATCATTGGGATCTTGCACCTTTACATGACAGATATTGGTTCTTATATTTTCCCCATTCCCCAGCCCTCCCTTCACCCCCTCCATCCTTCCCTGTTTACAAAGATATTGTTTCCATGTTTTTCCTTTTCTGATATTTTTTTCTTTTGCCTTACCTTTCCCCTACCCCTTCTACTTCCCCTACTCTTTAGACCATTTCTTCCTGTTACACAATATCAATTATACATTTTGAGCCTTATTTACAAAGTAAAATATTTCTGCAGCGTACCATATGATATCAAATTGGGTCCATAAAACTTAAAATATTTTCAACTAGCAACTACCACTTAAACTATATTAGTATTTGGTTTTAGAAAGATCTTTAGTTTAACACTTTTGAAAAAGTTGATAGAAGAAGTGCTAAATTTTTTGTTTTTTAAGTGCTAAGTTTTTAATTTGAGTGAATTTGAGTTTTTAATTTGATGAATTGGCCATATGTGAAACACTGAATTGAGTATCTAGATTTTATTGTTTTTCACTGATTTTTGCTGGTTCCAATCAATTTTACTAGTGAGGTACAAATGACAAATCCTTTTTTTTTAATACCTTCCCAGTCCTATTTTCAAATGTTCCCTTTTAAGGTTTTGTGAAGAGATTTCTGTCCTTTATCTCCTTCCAGCGATGTGCATTTTGTAAGCACCTTGGAGCCACTATCAAATGCTGTGAAGAGAAATGTACCCAGATGTACCATTATCCTTGTGCTGCAGGAGCTGGTACCTTTCAAGACTTCAGTCACTTCTTCCTTCTTTGTCCAGAACACATTGACCAAGCTCCTGAAAGATGTAAGTTTACTTAGGTATATTTTGAAACTGTTGACAATATGTTTACTTATAATAGCATATGTAAATCACCTGGTGTTAAAAAGTGATGTTCATAATCCTGATAGAAGGATCTTTGCCATAGGTCTTTAAAGGGAAATTTGTTATCAATGACTTCATTGAAATTAATTTTAAAAAATTACTTCCTCAGAAATTCAGAGAGTTTGCAGGTTTTGTACTCTTATTTAAAAAATAATTTAAACTACTTTAGAAATACAAATTGAGTATGCAGTAGTTCTGGTATATACTATAAAGTGATTTATTAAGAGGCTAGATAGTATTTTGTGTCTTAAAAAAAATACCTAGTGGGTATTTTTCAGTTCAAAGCTGACTTTCTCCAGTATTATTTCAAGATATCTGATATAGGAATATTAAACACTTATTGAGCTTTTGCACATTGTGTGTCCTTGACAGTGTGATACAAATCACTATAATGCTTCTTCCTGATTCACTTGCCTTGGTTATTTGTAGTCTGCAGTGGTGCTTTTTTCTCCCCCTTTTCCCAACAGTATTTTATAATTTTACAATATGTTGAAAATGTTTAAATGTTTGAACTCTGTGTTCTACAGGAAATTATAACTTTTTACTATTTTATCATTAAACAAATAAGTTTTTTTCACTATATGGATTTCCAGTAAGTGTATATGTTTTGGGACCTTGTTTTTACTGAGTAAATTTTCTTTCCAATCTCACTAAGAAATCTCCATGATATTTTATTCAGTCATTTTTAATGTTGCCTCTTTACTTAGTTGCTTTTACCTGTTACTTAGTAATTTTGATAAAAGCTTTATTTCTGTCTTTTTCAGATCTATGAAATATAAATATAGCTATTTCAGGCTTAACCTAAAATAATTTCAGATATGGTTAGATTATATTCCTTTTTATTTTTGTTTTATACTATAATTTCATCTTCATTTAAAATTATTTTGTGTCCACAAATGTAATAGTATGCCTTTCTTCACTATCCAGGCATAAGTTAAAGGTAGAGCCAACTGAAATTTCAAATTATATTTAGACTAATGAATAAAGGATTTAAATTTTTAAAAATGTTTTTCATCACACACTGTAAAATGTAAGAGAAGAAGAACATCCATGCACAGTAACTATTATGGCTCTTACTTATAAAGTGAATTATTTCACTGTGTAAATGAAGATTTAGTCATTAGAATTGAATATATCCTGGGTGGTATAATACATTTTGCCGACCAAGTAAAACAGGTGTGTGTGTGTATGTGTGTGTGTGTTTGTGTGTAAGAGTGTGGATTTTATTCAGCCCTTCAGACTCAGTCATACTTTAGACCTCAATAAATAGCATGCAGACTTACATATATGTTTGTAATGTTAGAAATTTCTTTGGCTAATGTCAGTACTACTTTCTTCTGATGACTATGTTCTCATAATGTATACTTGCACAGTTATAGTAGAGATCATGAACTAGTCTGTAAAATAATGAACTGTGTGAACTGAGGTGAGATGATTTTCTTTCATCATGCAGTTTGTGAAAGTTTTATGCTGATAGCTTACAACTAAAAGATACACTGAAACCACTCATGTTTGATTCTGAAATAGACTTATAGTGACTCATAAAAATACATGAACAATAGGATAAAACAAAACTAAGGGTCTTTGACCATGGGAAATACAGATTGGATAAATATGTAGGTAATGGTGAGACTGATAGCCAGAAGTAGTTCATACTTTTTGGATGTAAACCACAAACTTGGCCCCAGGCCTTTCTCATGATCAACACGAAGAAGGAATTAGGAGTGCACACCTGGTTTTCAGCACATACAAGAGCTCACTTGATACTGAGACTAAAGAGTAAATTGGCAATACATGTTGTATTGGAAAATGTCTTTCCTGTCTGGCAGTGTAAAATTCTGCAGGCTATTGTTTATAACAACCCTCAAACTAAGGAAATGGTATAAAACCAGTGCCCAGTTAAATAAAGTCTGTTCCTCGGGGTTCTTAAATTATGCAGTCTAAATTCATAGCTTTCTAACCATTTTTCTTAATACTAGGATATAATTTAAAGACTATTGCAGATTGACTGTACTGCTGCTTTCAGCAGTACAATATCTACCTATTGTAATTTGAGCTATGGCACAAGGTATTTTTTTTAAATGAGATATCTTAAATTGCATTGTTATAGTATTTAAGTGATAGTAATTAATTGAAATCACATAGCCTTGTGCTTCATATATGTTAATTGCTTTACAGAAAGTTATTTTAACTCTTAAGGCTGAAGATATGAGATTAATAATTTATATTGAGTATACCTATTTTATATTGCATTGTGCAGAGCAGCAGTTATATTAGTTGGCTGAGTGAGGAGTGAGACTGATACGTCTTTTTCTGAACATTGAAAAAAAAAATCTAACAAAAATGTGAAAGTCATTAGAAAGAAATCCTATTACCATAGAGAGAATTTATGAATAAGACCAACATTTTCACCAGAAAACAATTTTAGGGAGCTGTGTTCTAGGTGATGTCTGGTCATGGCTCTAGCATTATTTTCATTGTGATGTAGGGAGTTGCTGAACTTACCTAGAAATGTTATACTACATATACATCTAGGAGATACCGCCAGATACACTTCCAGAGCAGGAAACCTGAGAGACAAGAAACCAGCCATGAAAGATGAGAAGAAAAAGAGTATTCTAGGTAGAATAAATCAGTACCGTAGGCTTTGTGATATGAGCTTGGTGTGGTTCATGAACACATGGCTGGCTAAGTAGAAAGGAGATCACATCGTGATGAACAAAGGCTAAAGGAATGTTCGTTTTTCTGTGCGTCTGCAGTGAGAAGTATTCAGGGATTAAACATGGCAGTGCTGTTTCTCTTAATCACCCTCTGCTTCCCAATGGAGTTACTTCATCACTTCACTTCTTTTATTTTATGTAAGCTTTTACCTTCAGTCTCTTTTCCTTGATTGTCTTTGTACATTTTGATACCAAGTCTTGCTGCTTTTCTATGACCCTAAGTTCTGTCAGCTCCCTGACCTTTCTTACTTGTTCGCCAGCCTTATGGGCCATCCTTTCGGATGTGTTTTTTGCTTTTATGTATGTTTTGTTTTTCCTTTCTAGAGATTGATTTTAGAGGCAGATCACCCAGCACAGTGTCCTGCAGTAAGAGAAACTGGTAGAAGTGGGTGTTGGGATGTTGATGGGATTAGAAAGCTGTGCTGATTTGATCCTTCTTAAAGTGCTTCTCTGTGGCAGCAGTTTGACTACAGTTGCTCTTCACCAGTGCTATTATTATTTTATACTGTTTGGACTTCCTTCAACAGATAGTGTCACCTTCCAATTTGTGCAAATTTAAGAATCTCTGATAGGCCCCATTTTATTTTAAGCTCAGTGTTTTGTCTTTTCCTTTTTCTCTTCTATTTCCACAGCTGTCACTTAGGAAATGACTGCCTCCAAACTTTATCCTAATGTTTTTTCACTTTTCTCCTGCGTAATAACCTTATTCCCCCTACTTCAACTTCTTGTATCCTCTGCAGGCACTTTCATTTCTACTTTTGTGAATACTCATTCCCTTTACTGATTACTAGTAAAGTTTGTTTAGGAGTCAGTATTCATTAGGAAATAGTAAAGAATATGATCTTTGGAGCCAGGTAGATTTGGATTTTACTCTTTCCCTCTCTTAAATTATCTTTAGTTTTAGCCTTTCAGTCTCTTCTTTTCCACCTGCTTGAGTATCCACTTAGTTGTTTGATTATTGCTTCAGTCTTAATATTTCTGCAGTGTGCAGACATACTCTCCCCCCACCTTTGTGCCATCAAAGCTATCTAGTAGCATTATCTTATATATTACCTTCAAAAGGCTGTTGCAGCATATATCTGCTCCCTTACCAGGGAGAAGGTTGGAACCATGTCATTTTTTTGCATTTTACTTTTTTCTATTATTGTTTGTTACATACAGTAAATATTTTTGTGCTGGATACAACACATTGATTTTTAAAAATTTACTACTGATATCCTGTGGTAATTAAGCAACATGACAAGATTGTCATTAACAATTGCTAGAAAATATCTTAAAAAAAATGATCGTGACAGTGATACAGAGCATTGTCTTGTTGCACAGTGGGTTTTGTTGTATAGAATAGCTCCGTGAAATTAAAATATAATGTAAGCTCCATAAGTAATTTAAATTTTTCTAGTAATCATGTTAAAAATGGGAATATTTGATAAGAAATTTATTAATACAATTTATTTTATTTAACTCCAAGTATACAATTTATATTTTAGCATGTGTTCATTCAGTATACAAAAAGTTTTGAGGCACTTGACTTTTTTTCCTGCTAAGCCTTTGGAGGCCAGTATGTATTCAATATGTAGTGTACACTTTGGATTAGTTGCATTGCAGGCACTTGGTAGCCACACATTCCTGGTAGACAGACTTCAGGAAGGTTTACAGGAGCATTTTAGACGTTGTTCCTGGAAAATTGTAATAGAAAGTGAACTGGAGTATCTAGTAGTTTAAGTGCTTTCCTTAATTTCTTAATGTTTTCAGGGTAAATTTATTCAAAGATTTGTTTCTAAATGTACATTGCTTGAATGGGAAAATACTGCTACCCTCTTTTATTTTTTATTTTTATTTTTATTTTTATTTTTTGGTTTTTTGAGACAGGGTCTCACTATGTAGTTGAGACTGACCTGGAACTCACTATGTAGCCCAGGCTGGTCTTGAACTCACAGTGATCCTCCTTGTCTCAGCCTCCCGAGTGCTGGGATTACAGGCGTGCGCCACCACGCCCAGCTGGCACCCTCTTTTAATATTAAAAAAAAATAACCTACCCTTTCTTTCAAAAATTAAATAACTTTTAAGACTTCTACTTTTAGATTCGCCATATGTTGTGGATGTTTGCCAGTTAAAGAGCCATTTATAGTAATTTTAGGAGTAAAAAACCATGATTTTTTGCTAGGAATTAGAGCTACAAAGTGGAAAAAGATATGGTCTCTTTTCTTCCAAGGTTTCTGGTAATGTTGTAATCGGTTGATTATATAACAAATTTCTTCTAACCAAATGGGGAAAGGAAATACTCATCAGCCACGTGGGTGCTTGGGTGTGGTATAATAGATCCTCAGGGAATATGTTTGAGTGGAGTTTTGAAGGCCTCTTAGGAGAGGGCTGAAGTAGAAGACGACAGGCATAGCATTTCCAGCAGAGGGAACAGAAAGTGTAAAAACAGACATTGAAGGGCAGGTTGCTTTAGGTGCACATAGCATACTTGCTATGACCAGGAAATAGAGTGGTTCTGACCTTACATTGGGATGATTCTTTATAGAAGACACTGTAATTATTTAGGGATGTGATGGAAAAAATTGAAAAAAAAAAAAAGAAGAGTAGGTAAAAAGTTTAACAAATAAAAAATGGCATCTGGTCAGATGAGTTGGGTAAGGGAGGAGTCAACAACAGTGATGCTAAAGTTTCTACTTTTTACCCATTCTGTTGAGAAGAAAGCAAGAAATTTTGTTTCATTTTAGAGTTATTGAATGCATTTTTAGAACATATGACTGTTGAGCTCCTGCAAGACTTGAAAATAAAGGTTTGGGGATTAAGAGAGAAGTCTGGGGCTGGTAATCCTGATTTGAGAATTGCATCATTTACAAAGGGAAACTGGGGGATTAGAAAAAAGGAACAGGATGAAATTCTAGGGGACTTCAGCAGTTATTGGAATTATCCCAGTAGAAGTACAGAAGCCAAAAAAGGAGAATGAGACCAAGAGATGGGAAACCTAAGAAGTCAGGAAAGAGTTGCTAAGGAAAGAGAATTTAAATAAGAGAGTGCTAAGGGTATAAATTCTGCTAAGTGCTAATAAGGCCTGCTCTTAAAAGTAAGGACTGGATTTAATGTGGTTATTGATAACCTCTTTAAAATGGCTTCAGGTCAGTGGTGGATGCTGGCTGAGTCAAGACCGAGTTCTTCTTTGTAGTCTTCTTCCCCCCTCACCCCCCTGTAGCTAGGAATGGTGTTCACATTTTTAAAGAACTGTAAATAAGTCTGTAGTAGAGAGACCACAATGACTCATAAAGCCTAAATATTTAATTATCTAGCCTATTGCAGAGAAAGTTTGTAGTTTCCTGGCTCAAGTAAAAGGAATCTATTACTACTCTTTTTTAAGATGCTTAGCTATGAAAGAAAGAAGGTAGAAAGTTTTTAGTCAAAGAGGAATAGAATTTAGCAAACATTCAACCCTGTGAAGTTGGGGGCAAGGTTCATCTGTTTTGTGATGTATGTTTGTTATATGTATTATCTAAAATTGGTATGAGTTTAGAACTCATTGTTTTTCTTCTTACATTGTAATATAACTGCTGCTAACAGGGTATTGGGCAAAGCAGTATGTTTATTTTTCCATTTTTGTGTGTGTGTTTTGTAACAAATGTGTTAGAAGGCATATTTCCTTTTAATCATTTAGGTAGAGATACTATCTATAAGAATATGGATTTTAATCCTTTTACAGCAGAAAATCAGTGTGAATGAGTACAGGATTAGCATATGAAGTATTGTATTCACATATCAATATGTAGCATCCATCTTTAATGTTCTCTTATGAAAGGCATTTCCATTTTTTAAAAAACCCTCATTTAATTTGAATAATCTGTTATGGTTAAGCATTTTAATCTCATTAACATTAATTTCTTAATTTTGTCTGTTATATTGTAATTTCCAAATATCGAGTCCAAGCAAAACGTTTATTTTTACATTACAAGCATCTCTCTCATTTGGGTTTTTTCCCTCCTTGTTGGTTCTTTACAGCAAGTGTATATTGAACATTAAATGCATGGTATTACCATTGGTATTAGAGATAAAGAACTGCTTATGATTTTAAGTATAGACAAATAATTGCAAAACTACAAGATTAATTTTAATGTGGTTAAACTTAGATTTAAATACACTGTAGTATTTTTATTGAGATCTTATTCTGACTGAATATCAGTTCAGTGTGGATAACTTCAAATGTCTGAAAGATTTATCACACAAATTCCCTTTGAATGATTTTTAAACTGGCAAGTCAGAAAAATACTAAATTCTTATGCAACAATTTCATTGTTTTGCTGTTAATTATAGCAAAGGAAGATGCAAACTGTGCAGTGTGCGACAGCCCGGGAGACCTCTTAGATCAGTTCTTTTGTACTACTTGTGGTCAGCACTATCATGGAATGTGCCTGGATATAGCGGTCACTCCATTAAAACGTGCAGGTTGGCAATGTCCTGAGTGCAAAGTGTGCCAGAACTGCAAGTAAGTTGTAATTTCAACTTGAAAATATGTATTGAGTTTAAGACTCTATCATTAGGTGCTCAAGGTTTATGTAATATAATAAAATGTTGTTCATTTTGCAACTATATTCATGCAAATTGACCTCATGTCTTAAATTGTCAGATTTTACTAACACTTCTGTTATTTTGAAACAGGTCTAAACAAAGGTAATTTTAATAATGTAAATTCCTCTGGTTGCCTGAAAAGCTAATTTAAATGTGCCAACAATTTGTAAATGAATTACATTAATAATTTACATAGAAATGTAAAGCAATTTTCCTTGAGGGGAATTGCAGAGGAGCTTTAATGGAAAATTAAACTCAACTATAGAAAAAATTAATTGCTAGAGTTGAATCCCCTCCAAATATGTTTGAATATCTATTGCAGGAAGTTCTATTGCAGGGAGAACAGTTTCTATTAAGACTGTTGTGTTAATGAAATCTTTATTTCCATGTGAGAGATAATTATCTCTAGTAGAGTTTAGTTACCATAATTCTAAAATGAAGTGTGTGGCATTTAAACATTTGTCATAGGGTTAACTTTTCCTACTTGCTATATTCCATCCCTTGATATTTTTTCCAGTCTTTTCTCTGGACTCTACTCGTGATTCTATAATGAGAACAGTAATTTGGGGATGTTATCAGCACCTTCAGAAATCTTAAAGCTGTTTGCAGACTAGGAATTTTTATGAGGAGAAAATTATGCCCTGCATTGCCATGGTCAGATTGTTTCATTAGTTATTTAATTTGATAGTACTGAACATCTGTGTCTTAGACTAAGTCAGACCATTTACCTTCCCATTTTGGAAAAATTAAGTGAAATATCAGCAAATATTTATCTGATACTTTATATTTCTACTCAGTTTCTTGGGAAGGACTAAGAGAATTTGAATAGAGTGCTTGTCCTCCAAGATCTTTCTGTGAAGCTGAAGAGATAAAACATGAAACTTTACTTATAGAGTTGTTGAACTGAGTGTCACAGACCCATCTCCTACATTTCCCCTTTTTTTTCTTTTCCCCTCCTCTTGAGTTAAATTCTTAGTATCTGAGTGTGATTAATTGCCAAGAATTGAGACAAAGATCAGGGGCCCAATATTTGGAGCAAAGAATGTTTAGAGAATACTTTAGGTTTTCAGCTATAATTCTTAACAAGATTATTTTTCTTAATGCATATTATGTAGCATTTATTGCTTAATGGATATTCTAAGTTCTTGAACTGGCATTATATTTAATTTTCAAAAGACTCCTTGATGATTATTCCCATTTTATACTTGAAACTCACCTTAAATTGAGGTTGTTAAAGAGTCTCACAGATAGGAAACAACAGCCTGAGTATAAATACAGATCTGGTGCCAAATTTGATTCTTTTTCATTAGAAGACAATCTCTTTCCAATTTTCAATACCAGGACCTTTTCCTTTCAGCACATTATCACTTAGCAATTATAGCTGCTTGCCCCCAAAGGATGAGTATTATTAGAGTTTTGAAAAGTATAGATCAGTGATGGCGAACCTTTTAGAGACTGAGTGCCCAACCTGCAACCCAAAACCCTCTCATTTATTGCGGAGTGCTAACGCTGCAGTTAAACCTGAATGCTTAGCTAAGGGGTGGGGGATGCTGGGGCAACTTGGCTCATGTGCCATAGGTTTGCCACCACTGACATAGAGGAAAGGGTTGTTCCAACCCCTCCTCCTCCACAGGAGTCTTAACATGACTAAAACAAGTTAACCATAGGTGAACTTCAAGTAAGGATAATTCTTTAGGTTCCCATGGTAGGGGTTACCTCTACACTGCCTATGCAGAGACAAAACAGGTACTGGGGTATCTAGCTTCTACAACTGATTATTTTTGTGAATACTTAATATTACAAAATATAAGTTTAAAGATAAGGCATCATTAATGCTACCTTATTTTTTAGACAATCGGGAGAAGATAGCAAGATGCTAGTGTGTGATACGTGTGACAAAGGGTATCATACTTTTTGTCTTCAACCAGTTATGAAATCAGTACCAACCAATGGCTGGAAATGCAAAGTAAGTTGTTTTTTTTTTTTAAAGAAACATATCCTTTGTATGTTTTATAGAGAGAGCAAATTGGATAACTATTCAAATCTACCCTTATCATTAACTTTAAAAAACAGCTTTACAGGTGTGTAGTTGATACATTGCACATATTTAAAGCCTAAATTTGACATTGAAACTATCATCCTTTTCAATATAATAGATCTTGTCTTAATCCCCCAAAGTTTCCTGGTGCTATTTGGGGATCCCTCCTTCCTGGCTATTGATGCCTTTCTATTGTCTTTGATAGGCTGTCTTTTTCTTACTGTAGATTAGTCTTGACATTCTAGCATTTTGTATAAATGCCATCATATGGTATATATTCTTTAAAAATCTGGCTTATTTTACTCAGTTTTCTTGAGGTTTGTCCACATTGTTGCGCATATCAGTAGTGATCCTTTTTATTACGTAGAGCGTAAATGCCACACTTTATTAGATCATCTATTGGTAAAAATTTGGGTTGTTTTCAATTTTGAGGTGTTATTAAAAGATGCTGTGAATGTTTAACATCTGTATGGCACTTCATGAACATTAATTTTGCATTATTTATCAGTCTTCCCCTTCTAAAATATGTGATATTACCATATTGCACACTGAAAGAGATATATTTCAAAATCTGTTAATTTATAATCGAAGGTAAAAGATATGTTTCTTTTCTATTTAGCACTGGAGATTGAAACCCCCACCCCACCCCAGGCTTTACACATAAAACACTGCATTTAATGAATCAAGAGTAGCTCTTAGGTACCTTACATTTATTTTATAGCTATATATAACTTTTTAGGTATATGTTTATATGTATACCTTGTAAGTGTTTGGAATCATATGTGCAACTTTTGGGTTCCTCCTCCCTTGTGGTAGTTCTAAGTAAGTGATTATTGACTCAGCTATTTCTCTGCTGTCTGATGTTCTTGGGTTTGAGATTTGGACAGGATCCATAGATTTTTTTACTTAACCTTTTCATTACTTAAAATATTTCTACTTGTTAGGAAACTTTTTGGGGAGAGAGTCTTGCTATGTAGTTCAGGCTGGCCTTGAATTCACTGGGTAGCCTAGGCTGGCCTGGAATTTATTATTGTCACCCTCCAGCTTCAGCCTCCCAAGTGCTGGGACTACCGTGTGCGTCACCATGCCTGGCTCAGAAACTTAGTAATATGTATTTGCAGTTACTTTTTACTTACTCTTTTGGTCAGTGACACACACCCCCATCTGTTTTTGTAGATGCATCTTTATCACCCTGAAATGTACTGTGCTGGTCACTTCAAGCTTCCTCAGAAATTTCCTGAAGTTGTGTCATTAGTTTCAATAGTTCCTATCTTTAGCAGAGTTTGTATAGTAGCTATAAATGACACCAGATTTTAGGATATGCTTCTGTGTAGAAGCACAAGGTATTTAAATTCTTAAGTGAAAATGGAAGGTAAAAATAATTCAAGCTACTCTTTAATTCTTGGCTGACTCAATATAACTATATATTTCTTTTCTTCTGAGAAGATATTTTGAACAGTATTTACCATGGCCTTCCTTTGACTGTTCTCTAAAAGTTGAAATCAACCTAAAAGAATGTGCTTCCTTTGAAATCTTTACAGGCCAATTAGCAAATTCTAGATCCAGGGCTAGTGATGGGTAAGGAAACTATCCAGATTTACAGTATTTTGTTTATGTAGCGTAGGGAATAAAATTTGGATAGCTTGACTTAAAATGCCTTATTCTAACAGATTGTGCTGTTTCTTTGTGGCATGTATGGTATGTATATTTATTTGAGTGACAAGGGCTCTCTGAATTAAGTACAGTATTTATGTTTTACTTCAGTTAGGATCTAGACTCCAACAAACTCAGGACTCAGGATCCATAATCTCTCTCCCTTCCCTGATGTTGACTTTAGTTATTCATTATAATTTTAATTTTTAAATAGTACCAAATAGAATTTTTAAAGTAAATATAATGAATTAAGATATATTAATGTTATTTGTTATGTTAAATAAATAATTTTGCTTTGTAACTAAGTCGCTGAGATTGGATTTTTCTCAGGTTCAGTTCAGTGCTTAAACTTTTTCTTTAATAATATTTATGCAGAGGTCTTTTCCCCTTGGAGGTGCTGGAGGATGAGCCCAGCCTCTCACCCATGCTAGACAGTGCTTTATCAATGAGCCATGGAGAGTGTCTTTTGTATAAATAAGTTTTTGTATAAAAATAGTATTGATAATGCCATGGCTTTGTTTACTGTTCAGGTTAACCAGACCTCATGGTGCCAGTTGGTCTTTGAACATTAGATTTAATAAAATGGCACTCAGCTTTGTAAAGCCTTTATTCAGAAGCTTACCATTGTGGTACAACTGAAATTTGTGAAAAATGGGGTGTCAGTCCAGTCACTTCTAAAACACAACTTACTTGTATGCTGTCTGTGGGTTAATTTCTGAGTAGAAAAGTAAGAGGCCAGGAAGGCTCTGCTTCCTCTTTGGATTTACCTGTGTGCTTTGTGGATTGTTATGCTGGGGTGCATATTACTTTGCCATCCAGATATCTTTTTTTTTACCCCTTCCATGATTTTACTATGTGTAAATCTTCCATCTTTGATAGCACTTGGGACTAACATAATAAATACAAATGATACATACAGGTATCAAAGTCTGCATTGCATTACTCTTGATGATGATCAGTTAAATTTTGTATTTTTAGATTAGTATTACTATGAAACGTTTCAAGGCCGCAGGAAACATACAGTTCTCAAATCTGTGTTCTCCCAGCAGTCTCACATTCTTGTCCTAGTGGCACAGAAACGTGCTCCTGGAATACATTATGTGTCTGCCCCAGGCCTCAGTCTCCCCTTGTGTTGATTGCTGTAGGTATCACGTTCTTGGTCTCTTCTGGATGTGTGCGGCTTCTCAGGCTGCTACATCGCGAAGCTGGTGGAGCAGACCCCAAGGTGGTACGGGCCTAGGGCAGGCCCAGGCTGCCTCTCCCTGTGGAACAGCCTTCCCATTGCCTTTTCGGCGGGAAGGGCGCTCTGGCTGAAGGTCCTGGGGGCGTGTAGGGAGATGCGGAGCAGTTCGCACCCGTGCCCCCTTAGCCGGAAGACCGGCACCTGGGACTGGAAGCGTCCTGATGGGTTCTAGGGTGTGCACACCACTTCTCCTGCAGGTGGCCGGATGGTGGGGGGGTTGTGGGTTGGGACTGCTTCACCTGGGGAACCGAGAGCCTCTTGGGTAAGTGTACTCACGTGTGGCGCCGGGAGGCGGAGCCTGCGGGCTGAATGTAGAAGGCTGTTTGGGCCCAGTTCCTTCAGTTGCTTCCCTAGACAAAGGAGAGGTGCTGCTGTGTTGTCTTGACGTGGGGCTGAGGAACAACACTTATTGTTGGTACATTTATGCTTACATATTCACTGAATGTAGTCATTTGCTTCTGCTTGCCTTTTTACTTTCTGAAATATGTAATTTGTTTTCTTTCTTTTCCTAAGGATTTTTAACACTATAAATTTACCTGTGGTTGTAACGTGGTTGTATCCAAATTTATTATATGTATAGCTTTTCTTGTTTTGTATTTGTATATATTTATACAAATTTTGTATTTATACAAAAAATTTATATACGTGTATTCCAGACCTAAGGCCTTTTTATCTTTTTTATGGGCATACCGAAATGTTAATTTTCGCTTTAATTGAATTTAATTAGTTTACCATTGTAAGCTTTTAAAAACAATTGTTTTGATACTTGAAATACTGGCTTTAAAAATGTATCGTTTGTATATTAATTTCACTGCTAGACAAAGACCTTTTTAGTTGTTTTTGTCGATTTAAAAATGATAAAACCACTGTAATTGTTCCCATCAGTCTCTCCTTGTACCCCCACTCCCCTAAGCATTTACTTTTGTGGCTGCTAATTAGTAAAAAGGTAAGGCCAGTGTTACTATATTGTACTTTTAATTTAAGTGGTGCTTGCGACTGAAAACAGTCACACTGAGCTATGCCCCACTTCTTTTTAATTTTTGTTTTGAAACAGGGCCTTGTGAAATTGCCTAACTGGGTGTGAAATTGAGATCTTCGTGTCTCAGTCTCCCAGAGTTCCGGAATTACAGGCATGTGCCACCACACTTAGCTTGTGCTTTTTATCAGTGTAAAACCATCCTTTCTACCTTGTAGCTCACCCCTTCCTTCCTGTGCTTGACATGGCAGTATGACCACATAGGCTGTTGGTTCACTAGTTTAGTTCCCCCCCACACCCCCGTTTTTTCTTTTTGGTATCGGGAATCAAACTCAAACTCAGGACCTTGCTTTTGCCAGACATTCCTTTTGCCCCTGAGCTACACCCTTGGCCAGTTGAATGCTCTTTTAACATGTTTTTACTTTGGATCCTTCTGTGTCATTTTGAAGGTTTAGTAGAGCTGTTTTAGATTGATGATTGTAATTGAAATGCTTGGCTTTTTTTTGTTGTTGTTGTTGTTTTTGGTTTTGGTTTTGTTTTGTTTTTTGAGACAGGGTCTCACTATGTAGTTGAGACTGACCTGGAACTCACTATGTAGCCCAGGCTGGTCGAACTCACAGCGATCCTCCTGCCTCAGCCTCCCGAGTGCTGGGATTACACGTGTGCACCACCATGCCCGGAGCTATCACTTGGTATTTTAATGTTGTTTTAATCTTCACTTCCTTCTCCTCTTCCTCCTCCTCCTCCTCTTCTTCTTCCTTCTCTTCTTCTTCTTCTTCTTTTTTGTCCCAGAACCAGGGATTGAACTCGGGACCTTGCACTTTCCAGGCAGGCATGGCACCACTGAATTACATTCCAGGCTAATCTTCATTCTTTTATGAATGAGGTTGATAGTTTTTTTCATAGAATTAAGCATCAGCTTTCATCTTTTTTGGTGAATTCTCTGTATGTGTTTTGACCATTACTGAAGTGTGGTATTTTCTTCCCAATTTAAGAGTTTTTCATATAATGAAGTATATACAGCATTTATATCTTACACTATGCAATTTTTTTTCGTTTGTCCTTTGTTATTTTTGCTATGCAGAAGTTTGTTTTTATGTAGCCAGATTTACCTATCTTTATGGCATCTGGATTTTTTTTGAGACAGGGACTCACTATGTAGTCATCTGGTCTTAAGCTTGCTGTGTAGCCTAGGCTGGCCTAGAACTCATGATATTGCAAGTGTTAAATTGGAGCATACCAGCATACTTGACTGCTTTTGGATTTTTTATTCATAATTAGAAAGCTTTTTCCTATGTGTTACCAAGATTATAGAGTATTTTTTATTTCTTCTAATATTTGCATTATTTTATATACAGTAGTGCCTTGGTTTACAAACTTATTTTGTTTTACGATTTTGGGGAAGATGGCTGTGGTTGTGTTTGTCACCTGATGCAGAGTTTGCTAATGGAAGCAAAATTTTGCCAAATGCTTTTGTTTGTAAACCAAATTATTTGCAAACAGAAGTGTTCATGGACAAAGGTATTACTGTATTTATATCTCTAATACATTTACAGTTGATACTTGTGTATGGTGTATCTTTTTTCAATTGGCTATTCAATTTTCAAAAAACTATTCATTAAAATGACTGTTTTTGTCTAGTTACTTGAGATTCCAGACTAGAATTTTAGATTTGGTCAGAATAATTTTCTATTCTATCAATCCATCTATTCACTTACCAGCATCTTACTATTTTACATATAGAAGATATATATCTGGTGAGGTTGGGCCCCCTTCAGAGCTTTTCCTAGCTGTTCTTATGTATTTATTTCCCTATAGAAACTTTAGGACTAGTTTCTCTAGCTCCATTAACTATATCATTGGTATCTGTATTAGGAATCACATCAAATTTATTGAATTTGGGAGGACTGCCACGTTGAATAAGATTCCCTAACCAAGAACAGTGGATGTCTTTGCATTTGTTCATCTAATTTTGTATCTTTTGAGAATGTTTTATAATTTTCATTATGTAAATTTTTAACATTTTGTAAGTTTATTTCTCTGTTTTGCTGCTGTTATAAATGGGATTTTCTACTGTCTTTTAGCTATCATTTGTGTGTGAATCCTGTCAACTTTTGTATAATTTTATATCCTTATGTTCTGTGGAATAATTTTTTCTTCTCAGACTTTTTTTTTTTTTTTGAGACCAGGTCTCACTATGTAGTTGAAACTGACCTGGAACTCACTATAAGGTCTCACTATGTAGTTGAAGCTGAACTGGAACTCACTGTGTAGCCCACGCTGGTCTTGAACTCACAGCAGTCCTCCTGCCTCAGCCTCCTGAGTGCTGGGATTGCAGGCGTGCGCCACCATGCCTGGCTTCTCAGACTTTTTAATATCTTAAATTTTATAATAGACTTAAAAAATTGGGTCTGGGTTATAGCTCAGTTACATATTGCCTGCCTGGCAAGTGTGAGGTCCTGAGTTCCATCCCCAGTACCAAAAACACCCCCCCACACAAGCTAAACATCCTTGTATTTCTTAATAGATTTTTCTAATAATTATGCATACTCATATTTCTTTTATATCCCAGTGGGCATATTGTTTTTTTAATGTGGTATTGGAGTCTTGACCTAGAATTTTTCTATTAGTATGTCTATCCACTTTGTATCTATCAGACTAACACATCGATTAGTGGTTCTTGCTAGTTTTCTCTATCAGCCTTGTGTTCCAGGGTTTTGAAGCAGGCTAGGGAACAGGCACAGAAAAGATTTTGCCTGGCCTTGGGGGAAAGCCTTGAACTTCATAATAATTTCGACTTTGGTTCAGATAGAATAATTTTTTATTCAAAAAGTAGGAGACCTGTCATTGAATTTTGATGTATAGTTATTACTTTCACGATTTGAAGCACCAAGTCACATTGAGTGGGTCATATTCTTTTGCTAGAAAAACTTCTTGTTTTTAGTTCCTATGCTATCAGGAAGCAAATGGAATACTACAGCAGCAGCATCTTGGTTTCTACTAGATGTCCATAAAATTCCCTTCCTGATTTTGGCATATGGTTCATTCTGAAGTTTGGGGTGTGGTGTTTTTGGTTTCTTTCTGTTATGTTAGTATTTTCCTGGAACCCTCCCCAACCCCTAATTCAAATTTTTCTGGAGGTCTTAGTGCAAATTTTATGTGATGAGACACCATTAAAAACAAATTGGTTTTTCAGAAGCATACACCTCCAATTGGTATCATAAAAATTAACGTTAAGGTACAATTCACAATGTTTTGTTAATTTCAAAAAGATTTACATAAGAACTGCAATTACAAATACATTGTTTCTTCTTTTTATTTTTCCTAATGTTTAGAATTGCAGAATATGTATAGAGTGTGGCACACGATCTAGTTCTCAGTGGCATCACAATTGCCTGATATGTGACGCTTGTTATCAGCAGCAGGATAACTTATGTCCTTTCTGTGGGAAGTGCTATCATCCAGAATTTCAGAAAGACATGCTCCATTGTAATATGTGCAAGAGGTAAGAAGATATAGTTGCTCCATTTAATTGCCCTGCTGATTGTGTGCTCTACCATATTTTATAACTTACATTGCCCTGTCTGACCAGAAATGAGCATTAAGAGGGAAGAGTAGTTAGTGTTTAAAAATGTGGAAGTAAAAATATGTGAACACCTCTAAGAACATCAACAAATGCCACATTCCTTTTGAAAACTTTTGCCAGTTACTAGCCCCTTTCATTCTCTGTTTTTTCAGCAGTTGCCTCCTCTTTCCATAGACATTAACTTGACTTTAAATTAGAAAATTTTATTTGAATATACTTATCACTGCAGATGGGTTCACTTAGAATGTGACAAACCAACAGATCATGAACTGGATTCTCAGCTCAAGGAAGAGTATATCTGCATGTATTGTAAACACTTAGGAGCTGAGATGGATCCGTTACAGCCAGATGATGAAGTGGAGATGGCTGAAATAACTACAGGTAAGTTGAGAATTTTTATTACTGTTTTCTTTATATAACATGTGCCAGCCTGTTACCAGCCTATTATTTTAATCATAATGAAGAAATCCCATGTATTTGATCCCATCTTGTTCTCAGTTTCTATACCTTTAAGTGTATTTACTGTCTTAGTCATTTTTAAATCTGATGGTTGACATCACAGCCAGCTTCTTTCTGGCCATTTCTTTTTTTACTGCCTGATGTGCTTCTCTACTTCCTCAGTTGTGGGAATATTGTCTTGTTTGTTCTTCATAATATGTGTTATCTTGCTCTAAACCTTGTTTGTTTTCTAACACTCTAGTCAAATGTTTATTATCATACCTTGAGCCCAAAATTTCATTCAGGTAGAAAATCTTTCGATTGTATCCTGTTGTTATAATAGCAAGATTCTTAGAGGGTAATGAAAATAGACTTGCTTTACCACATTATTTTGCATTTTTGTCAATATGATTGGTAACCTTGATAAATGTCCTAGTTTATCATCTACAGAAGATTTAAGTAGAGGCATCTTTAGTACTGACATTTCATTTCCAGTATACCTGGCATATGGTAGTGGAATGAATATTCTTTTAAAATTAGAAAGTGCTAGCTAGGCATGGTAGTGTACATCAGTAGTTTTAGTTACTTGGAAAGTTGAGACAGGAGGATTGTTAAGTTTGAGGCCAGCCTGGGCAACTTAGGGCAAGACCTTGTTTCAAAATAAAAGGGAAAAAGGACCCACTAGGTAGCTCAAAAGTAGAGCACTTGCCTAGCATGTGCAAGGTCCTACATACATACACACACACACACACACACACACACACACACACACACACACACACTGTAGTCTGAAGCAAGGAGTTAATAAAAATGTCCACCATGATCAGAGTCTATACCTGGAATTGTTCCAGATGGCAAAAAGTAAATTTGGCTATTTATTTTGGAGGGGCTGGTGGTCAAACCAGGACCTTGTTTACCACGAGCCACTGCCCCATCCTGTAAGGTAATATTTTTAGATGACACTGCATAACCAATTACATTTCAGTGTGTTGTAGTTTTTATGTTTTAAAAATGTAAATACTTGGTTCAAAAAAGAAAAATCTGAAGAAAAACTCATCGTTTCTGATAATTTACCCTCACTAGAACAAAAACCATAATTGTTAATTTAGTTAACAAAAACAGAAAATCTCTTTCTGAGCTAATGAATTAATAATTTTTCTCTTAAGATTATAACAATGAAATGGAAGTTGAAGGAACTGAAGAGCAAATGGTATTTTTGGAGCAAAGAGTTAGTAAAGATGTCAGCGATCACAAGTCCACACCCGGAATTGTTCCAGATGGTAAGATGCTTGTGTTGATGTATTAATATAGTCTGTTTTTGAGGAAAATGTAAATATGCAATGAATATGCAAATATCTACTAAAATTTGAGCGCAAAAATTGAGAGTTGGCTAGGATATGGAACTCCTTATAGCTAGAAGCTTTTTAGAAAGATCTTAGGCACAAATTAATAGAAAAGTCATGTACTGTATTTACAGTTCAGCAGAAATATAGACTTAATCATAAGCATGTACTTTCTTTAGGGATCAAGTGATCATCATTGAAAAAACAATACAGCTATTTTTTTAGTTCTTAGAATTGCCCACTAGAGCGCTTGGTGATTGTGATGTTTCATGCTGAGATAATGAAAATTTTATTGTATTAGGCCATATCAGCAGTCCTACTGAGGATAATTTCAAGTGCATTTTTATAGTAGTGATAATAGCTCTTACTGTACTTGAAGATCTGGAATTAATGAGACTGTTAAGGGGAAAGTACTTATTAAATCATGGGCTTATCTGAAAGTCTGATTTTGTATGTGAGGTTGTATGTTAAATTATAGTTTGTGAGTACATGCATAAAAAAAGCCTTAGATTTTTTGGAAATATATTAAGTTCACATTTAACAACTCATTAATACAGTAGCTTTATTTCATTGGGCACAGTGGCTTACTTACATCTGTAATCATAGCTCCAAGGCAGTCTGTAGCAGTGAGGCAGAGGATCACCTAGTATGAGCTCAGCCTGGAAATTTAATGGCTTAGTGACACCCTCTCTCCAAAAAAAAAAAAAAAAAGTGTTGGGGATATAGCACAGTGAGAAAGCCCTGGATTTAACCCCCAGTACCACAAACAAACAAAAAACTTCATAAAGATGCCATGTGAAGAAATATTTATATTTCTTAATGTGCATACCCAAATTCTTAATTTTATGTTTCTGTGCCACTTAGTAATAAGTATATTTTGTACTTATGCTGAAAATTGGTATTTTGTGGTAAGGCAAAACTCATTCGTATTGTTTTTGTGGAGCAGTTTTTGTTGTTGTGTAAGCAGTATTAAGTGCACTTCTGACTCCTTGCTAGAAATTCCATAATGTTATTTGTGACAGTTCAAGTGATCCCCAGTGAAGAGCAGCAGAAGAGTGACCCACCAGAAAGTCTTGACACAGATGGCCTTCTTGTTTCAGGTAAGAATGTGTTCCAGTTATCTAATGTGATGGAGTTACAAGGTAACCCTTTTATGATTGCCATGCAGATTCAAGAAATTTAACTTTTCAAATAAATTATCCTAAAGAACTTTTTGTAATTGCCACACATAGTTAATATTAAATCTTTGTGTCAAGTGATACTTTCTTGAATAGAATTGACAGTTTCTCTGTAAAAGATTTTTGTTTAAAAGTAGCACTGTCTGATCTGTTATTTGTTGTTTTTCCTTTATCCTCAACTTTAGTCTTTCAATAAAGCAGGAATGAGATGTGAGATCTGATTTTGATATTAAAACATAGTTAAATTTTAAACAATGATCAGTAGATAATAAGGAGAGTAGTGTCTTTATTAGAGTAAAAATTAAAAATTGCCTTGAGGATATTTGGAATAAATTCCTTTATCTTCAGTTTTGTTTATTGAGTCACTTAGGTTTCATGCCATTTGGGGCCTGGACTAAAGTTTTAATACACTAGTTCTCAGATTTTAAATTTACCAGTTAGTGATACTGTGTGTGTGTGTGTGTGTATCTGTATTGGTACCATCAGTATTTATTTGTATATATTTTTGTAACTTTCCTGTTGCCAAACACCCAACACCCACAACTTGAACAAGGAAAAGTTTGTTTTGGCTCATGATTTTAGTCTATGCTCAGCTGCCTTCAAGGCATAAAAAGCCTGGTAGAGAAAATGGTGCTCCTACTCATGGCAGCCAGAAATCAGAAAGAAGGGAGGAACGAGAGACAAGAATATTTTTTCAAGGTCACTCCCACCTCAACCAAGCCCCACCAGCAAAGTCAGCTATGAGCTCAACAGTGGGCTAATTCACTGATAAGTGTAGCACCCCCATGATTCAGTCACCTTCCAAACACATAGAGCTTTTGCAGGGTGGGGGGTACTTTACATCTAAACCATAACTCTATATATTTCAGTATCTAATGTGTTTATGGAGATTTGCTAAGATTAATTTCTTAGGTTATGACAATAAGGAAGAACAAGGATTGTACCTAAAATACATCTTGAGTATATGGCAGGTATAGCTTATAAGCAAAATAAATCTTGGTGATTACTAAGTGTTTTCTGACTGTGCTGGGTACTCATTTTGAGTTTGTGTAAGCTTTTTTAACCTGATTTATCTGCAAAATATCTTTACATTGCCACCGGGCATGGTGGCGCATCCTGTAATCCCACCTCTCGGAAGGCTGAGGCAGGAGGATCGCTGCAAGTTCGAGACCAGCCTGAGCTACATAGTGAGTTCCAAGTCAGTCTCAACTACATAGTGAGAATCTTTACTTTGCAAACCAGTCTTCACTTTTTTTTTTTGATGCCAGGGATTGAACTCAAGACCTTGCTCTTGCAAGATAGGCAGCAGCACTGCTGAGCTAAATCATCAGCCCTTTGCTTTTTAACTTAGATACTTTATACATTATTACTGGTTGTCTTTTTCCTAGCTTTAAGATGAATATGATAATTTTACACACTTTTCAATCCTTTTGTGAGTGCTCAAATTGCAAAACATCATATATGTATGTTAGAATTATATTAGTAATTTTCTTTTGGTATTCTTACTACAAATTACCTCAGACTCTGGGGATTCTATTAAAGCCATGTTTTTAGAAGGTATGTATTTAATTCCAATATGTAAGTCCTTGTGTAGTTTGGCTTTTAATAACGGGAATAATTGCCTTTCTTGATGAATACCTTTACAGTTAAGTGGTGATTTAGCCAAATATTTTATACCTGTTCATAGTCAGACACTTAAAATGTTGTATGTATGTTACTATAACAAGTATTCTCTGAATTTTATAGAAACATCCCCAAATAAAATGAATTCTGAATTGGAAAATGAGATTTCTTGTGACATTGCTAGTAAAAAAATGGAAATGCCTTCTAAAGTGACACATCTTCATGATGAAGATGAAAAAGAAGACAAAATGGAAGTGACAGAAAATATTGAAGTCCTTACGCACCAGATTGTTGCGCAGCAGGAAGAACTACAGTTGTTACATGGACCCAAAGGGGTGATATGCGGAGAAGAACCACGGCCTCCAGTGTCAACCACTGAATCTGTCACTGTTCCACCAGCGGCCTTAGTATCCCCAAATGAGGAAAGTACTTCATGTTCTAAGGAACAGTTGATTACAGAAAGAGTACAAGATGAAATAGAACAGAAAGAAAACTCTGAATTTTCTCCTGGGTTCATGGATTTTGAAATGACTTCGGCAGTTGAGAGTTGTGTGAAGGATGGTTTATGCCCAGGAGATAAATCTGTAAAATTACCATCTGAGGCAGAGTCATCGTTTTCTCCATCAGCAGACATAGGCAAGGCAAATATGTCTTCCTCTTCAACACTTTCTTCAGATTTGCCTTCACATAATATGCTGCATAGTTACTCTTCAACTCTCAGTTCTTCTGTTGGCAACATCATGCCAACAACTTACATCTCAGTCACTCCAAAAATTGGCATGGGTAAACCAGCTATTACCAAAAGAAAATTTTCTCCTGGTAGACCACGATCCAAACAGGTAGGGTGATTTTAATGATATTGACAGAGAATATATGGGAGCAGTTATTCGTTATATAAAATAAGCAATTGTACATGTACCTTTTAGTTGGAGGGGAACTGTCCTGCAGGGGAACTCATATGTAATGTTGACTTAATGTATTTTTTTCTGTTACTTAGAAAATGATGTCAATGAAGAATGTAATTTATTATGAGACTTGATATTTCAATTTAATTATGACATAAAAGTGATCTATTATAGTTTCTTGTAGGAAGACAAGTTGTTTTAAGTTCTCTAAAACAGCAGAGTTCTGGATATGCAGTAACTAATACTTATTTTTGCCTTTAAGTTATTTATGGATATATCTAGCATGTGTATTTTTAGCTGCATAAGCATTAAGATTTGTAAAGGGAATTTTTTTTTATGTGGAGGAATCTCATTTTGATGTTTTCATTAATTGCTAACACTTCTGGATTTTTTTCCCCCAAGCCAGGACTTATTTCAATAGTTTTATGGAAAAAGTCTTAGAATTATATTGTTGATCTTCCTGAAGTAAGGAGAACTCTTCTCATTATTTTAAGTGCTGTGGATTCTACCTTTTAGAAGTGATTTTTTTTTTTTTTTTTTTTTTTTTAGTACCAGGGATCGAACTTGGGACCTTGTGGTTGTGAGGCAGGCAGCGGAACCATTGAGCTAAATCCCTGGCCCAGGAGTGAATTTTTAAATGTGATTTAAGTGTGACTATGTAGATAAGTGAAAATACTGTAGCTAATAATCACTCATTGTTGTACACAGTTGCTCCTTACTGAAGTGTATTTTAAAATGTCAAGATACCGAACAGTAGAGAAATATTTAGTCATCATGGTAATTTGAAGTTTTGAGTTCCTTGTTTTAAATTTCTCTTAGCAATTACAGTCTGAATTTTAATGGAATGATAAATTAATCTGGATCTACTAAGTTTAGTCAGAAAACTTTTTTTTAAAAAGATACAGCTTTTATTTTGATGTGACATTTTTTTGCTAAATAAATCCCAGATATATTTTTTGTTCTTTAATTATAAGTTGCATCAAAGTCAGATTATCACAAAATTTGGGTGAATCTCTATGGTCCAGAGATGCAGTAAGCCACACTTACTTATATGTGCTTTTTTCCCCTAAGTATTTACTTTAATATTTACATCTGTAGTACTAAGAGGTTTTCTTCTTTCCCTGAGTCTTTTGTAAAAAATACATAGTTGTGTAATAATTATGCAATTCTAACTGATAAAACCTTAGCAATAGAAAATTGAATCGCAAATTTACTTTTGGTTTGGATCTTGCATGGCACAGGGTGGGGTGGGGCGGGGAGGTAGTGGTGGTGCAGTACCGGGGATGGAACTCAGGACCTTATGCTTACCAGGCAGGTGTGGTACCACTGAGCTACATCCCCAGTCCAAATTTGGATCTTTTCATTCCTGAAGTACTTTTCTATTAAATTTTACTGAAATCTTTACTTTTTTTGAGACTTATTCCAACAGAGAAACTAGATTGAATACATAAAGACTTACTTGTTTTATTTTTATATTTATTTTTTTGGTATCGGGGATCAAACTCAGGACCTTGTGCTTGCAGGGTAGGTGTGGTGCCACTGTAAATCCTTGGCCCAACTTGTTTATTTTTGTGGTTTGGGTGGATTAAACTTTTTTTACATAGTAGGCAAGTGCTCTTGCACTGTGTTAAAATCTAGCCTGGACTGTTTTTTCTGTTGACTTTTATTCCAGACTGTTGTGTGCATTTGCATGTGCGTGGTTTATTTCCTTTCTGCCTTATTCCATCTTATAAGCCACATCTTAATATTTGCTATTGCTTCTGCTATATTTTTTAGTTCCAACATCTGATAATATTCTATTACTAGTTACTACTCTTATTACTCCTTAATCATTTACTGCTAATTCATAAGCAGTTTGTGTGTGATATTTTCTTCCTTTGTCCTTTTAGTCTTCCAATTTTGGTTTTGTTATATGGCAAAACAATCTTCACTAGGTGCTTCAAGACTTGCTACTGTTACTGTTATTTGTGTATAGTGTGAACTGGAGGTGGTGCTTCCATTGCTGAAGCACTAGGGCCATAATACTGTGTACATAACAGGAGTGTGTATACATTGGAAATACTAAGGTCCATTTTTATGAATTTCTTTGGTACTAGGTATTTTTGTGTCATACTTCTGGTTTAACTGAGTGATTCATTTATGAATTCTTGGTTGTGGGGATTGGGTAAAAAACCAAGATAGATTTTCATGGCAATGATTGGGATGTAAAATTTGGTTTCTAGGTATTTTTTGATCATCAACACTGCTGACATTTCTGTATTTTTTTGGACTGTCATTGATTCTTTAGTTGTTACCACCATGGTGGTAGTAATATCCAAAGAACTATGAATTTGGTTTGTGAAATTCTGTCCCATAGTAGCCAGAAAGATAGTTTCAGAATTAAATGAGTAATTTATTTAGAAACAAAATCTGAAAAGATTTAAATTTTGATGTAATAACTAGTGATCATATTATTGAGAAATATTTGGAGGTAGAAATTAGTAGAAGGGTAGCCAGTACTGTCCAATATAAATATGTCTTGTGTAATTTAAACATTTTTAAACATTGTCAAACAGAAGCAGTTCAAATTAATTTTAAAATATTTTAACCAACACATTTAAAATATTCAGCATTTATGCAACATGAAAACGAATAGATACTTTATATGACTTTTAAAAGTTAGATGTTTGAGATGTGCTTGTGCTTTTGCACTTAAAACATGTCTCAGTTTGAACTAACAATATTAGGAGTACTGAGTAACCATATGTGATTAGTGGCTACTTACTAGAAAGTGCCAGGCAAAAGCATTTGAGAAATAGTAAATGTCAGTTTCAGAATTACTGGTGAAATTTTGCGTAAAACAAATTTAAGACTAAGCTAGGAGCACTGTTTCCTTTCACTATTTTTTAAGGAGTGAAGTAGAAATATTCTGATTTCTCCAGTTGCTTGTAAAACAGTTTACTATAAATCACTCTTAAGTTTTCAGGGCATATTGTTATCAATATACAACCCATATACATAACAGAATTTAGGGAATTTCCTGAATCTAAGATGTCAGGACAAAAAGAATCTTTGTCTCTAGTGTTGGAAATCCATTATTAAATGGCGAATCACATACAGAATTGTTTTTCTTTTATAAGGGAGTTAGTAACTAATTTTAATGTATTACATTCTACCTTTTATATGTAAGATTTTAGATGTTTAATAAGAAATATAATGTTCATTTGCTTCTGACATATTTTAGATATATCCCATATTATTTTTAGAACAGACTGACTATAGAAATAATGACCAACATTTTAAATGTGTGTAGGATGAGATTTTGTTTTTTTTTTTTCTCTCTCACTGAGTTTATTGGTGCATTTTAGATATACAATACAGTTACATTCATTACTGGGATCTTGTACCTTTACATGACAGGTTTTGATTCTCATTTTTT